AAGTTGGGCATCAACAAGTTGGGCATCAACAAGTTGGGCATCAACAAGTTGGGCATCAACATTGGGCATCAACAAGTTGGGCATCAAGGTTGGGCATCAAGGTTGTGCATCAAGGTTGGGCATCAACAGCTGGGCGTCAAGATCGTCAAGATCGATCGTCAAGATCGGGCGTCAAAGTTGGGCATCAACCGTTAGGCACTTGTCGGCGAAGCCACACATTCGGCTTCAACGCCCCGTGCCACATATTAGGCGCCAAGTTTAGACGCTGCAGCTTGGGCAGGATGGCGTCTAGAAGTGAACCAGAAGTCGACACCGTCTGATTGGAACCACCTTCTCGGTTGGAACACGAGGCATCGCCACTATGCTTGAACGAAAGCATATACGAGGCGGGTCAACGGCAGATCCCCCGGCCTGACAGGTCGATCAGCCGCGACCCTGAGAGCCCATCAGTGAACACGCGGCGCGCCAGAGTGACCCAGGGAGCCCATGGGTTGCAAAAGACGTAGACTTACCCCGAGGGCCCGGGGTGGTCCATCGTATCAGGGTGAGGCGGGAGAAATTGCCGATGCGTGAAGGGCGTCTTCCCCCCGGACGGGCTAACGGAACGAATTGACACGATCCCAACTCACATGCCGCTACCTCTCGGGGAAGTGGCCCAGGTGCATCCGTCAAGCGTACCGAGTGCTCGGTACCGAGTACGAGGTATAAGTGGACCCGAGCCGTCGCTGTCTGTTCCCAGCATGACCCGAGAACCAGCCGCAATATCTCATACGTGCCGAGCACACCTCCTCGTCTTCTACGGCTGAGAATCACCAAAAGGACAGATCTCTTCGAACGCCATGTGGACAACTCATCATCGTGAACACATTCGTTGCTCAGGTGTGTCCATCCATGTTCGTCATCAGCCTTGTGGCCCTCGCCGTCAGCTTCATTCCCATTCCCTCCCTGTGCCTTCAACACCTGTTTGCTCCTGGTCTTCTTCACAATATTGTTAAGCATCTCTTTGCTGAGCATCACTAAGATGCTGAGGACCTGCGGATCCACGGAGTCGCCAGTCGAGGTGGTCGTGGTCCCAGCGGCTGCTGCTTTATTGATGGTGTTGGCAGCTGCGTTGGTAGTTGCCATGTATGAGTCTGCGGGAACGGTGCCTGATGTGGGATTTTCTAGTGCTGGCTGCGTCGCAAGAATCATGATCACCTGGCTGTTGTCATCATCATCGAAGTTGCTGTCAAGGTAGTCAGTCCGTTGGGATGCCCGGTCTCTCCTTTGTTGCGTCTGCAGGCTGGCTGTCTTCGCGAATGAGGTAGATCGCACGGGTCTGCTCTACCTCTCCAGCGTTCTTCTTGCCAACGACAGCTGCTCAACCCCAGACCCTCGAGCATTCTTTTGCTGCTATGCGTCCAGCTTCCCTTTTCTTCAACTTTGCCTTCCTGGTCCCGCTATTCCTGCTCGGGAAGTATATGGCCAGTTTTCGCACGCCGCCGCCACTTCTCTTCGATCTCTGGCCGCTATCCACCAGACAGAAGGACGGACAAAACCGACCCCAGCGACCTTATCGCCCATGGGACGCTCAATAACTTCAGGCATTGCTTTGTCAACCAGAAAGGACCGATCGACCTCGACGTCGGGCTGGTGTTGTAGTATCGTCCTCGATTGTCGATCGACAGGAGGAAGAAATTTTCTGGCTCTGGGAACTCCTCCAGCACTTCTGTCTTGGCTGACACCCATATCATGCCACCACCGATGGCTAGTCACAAGATTCGCTCATACCGATTCCAGACCACCTCAACATCCTGTAGCGAACCTCCCGTTCCACGAAGTCGTACTTGGAGCCTTAGAACCAATTTTTGGGGAGCGGAGGTGGATCGCGAAGAAGCGCGCTTCCTTTCTCTCGATTTTCCAGTTGCGTCTGCTCAGCTTCTCCTCCGTTGTGGCTACTTTCTTGTACCTCTGTCACCGGCTGGGGTTCCACCAGCGATCGCACTGTGTCACGATCAAGCACGTGACCAGGCACGTGACCACGCTAGCCACGGCCTGCGCCCCCGCAGTTATGTCATTGTTGTCATCACACAACAAACCTTCCAGATAGTCCTTCGTACTACAATTCATCAATTCAAGCGCACTGCGTGATACACTGCGACTCAATTGAGAGCTTGCTTGTTTGGGTGATATGCTGGGCTGCTAGGACGATCCCCTCAGCCGTTTCGGCAACGTCTCCAGGGCCCGAGACTGTCTGTTGGGCCGTTGGCATGGCTTTGGCGTCTGACGACTTCTTCAGTGCTGCGGTGTGCTCCGTGCTTATTGCCATGTCAAATTCTCTTGCAAGGAAATCTTCGCGAAAAATTACATCTTCCGGTGTGTATTTCTTCCTCGGTTGCTTCTCTTTCTTGTTGGGGAGTGAGCGCACTCCGGGGAACGCCTGCCGGAACGGCTTCCACCACTCCATGACTCCTCGCGCCTCAATACCGCAAAGAGCATACTCTGGAATGATGCCAGATGCTGCACGTGGAATACCCATTCGAATTGTTTCCATTGTTCCGATCGTGTCTTGAGGGCGCGCATGAAGACAAGAAGCACGTGGATGAGCTCCCACAACCTCACGTCGGTTGTATCTGCCCGCTTCAAAATTTTGCGAACATTGGCCCAGAGGAGCCGTGGTCCTGGTTGATCTCTGTCGTAGATGTCCCGCCTGTTGGCATTGCTAGCGCGAAGCTCGATGCGTCGCGCGGACGTCGCCCAGTCGGGCCCATGTCGCCTTATGCAGGCTCCTCTGGTCGGACGGAGAGATCTCTTCGGCCAGGGAGGTGAAGACCATGACCTGACAAAGAAATATGCCGAGCTCGGCACTGCAGCAAATTCATTAGTCGGGCGGGAGTGACCTGGCGCTTGACAGATGGTGGTCGTGCACATACCTGGGATAAACAATGAAGGTGAAGATTGAGGCTTGACTCATGACCATCCCAGCCCTCGAGACTGTCCTTCGCGTTGTTAGACATCTTCAGTTCTTCAGCAAGTGCAGCAGGTGGTGTTCCATGCCAAGTGTTGTGTCGCTATTTTTCTGGACCTCCGTATCACGGCGCAACCTGTAGGCTGTTCACAGCTGTCTCGGTTGCAATTATGATATGAATGCCAGTACGAGGATCTATCTGGAAGAGGTCGTCGGCGACCAGCGACAGTGATATCTACTGTGCGCGATAGTTTAGCGAGGCTGAGTGGCAGCTTCGCAAACCCCACAGCCTCATGAACCCCACAGCCTCGTGGGCCATACAGCCTCATAAACCATACAGCCTCGTGGACAGCACAGCCTTGTGAACAGCACAGCCTCGTGAACCACACAGCCTCGTAAACCTCGGGAGATTCGCTCTGTCAGACCGTGACACTCCGTGTTAGTGGCAGAACATGCTCTGGTCAATTCCGCAACGGCCTCTCGTGCCAGTTCAAACGAATTCTGAACCGCGAGTGCTTTTGTCAGGTTGAAGACCCCGGCCAGACACGAACTTGTCGAAAACATTGAGCCCGGTGTCGGCCTCATTCAGAGCGACCAGGCGAAAGTAGTTGCGGTCGGTCGAAGGTTCCATGTCCAATCTTTTGGTGTATTCCCTCCCTAGCAACACACAACACGCGCTGATGGAGGCGAATGTCGTCATCTTCTATCTCCATTCTCCAAAGTGCATGAGTAAAAAGGTTTGAGCTGTGTCTTACTCTGGTTGGTATTCCCACTCACCTGACTGGGGCGGCGTGCTCTTTGCATTCGACCCAAGTAGCGCTGAAGGAAGGGCAAGCCTCATTCAGCGAATCGATCATCCCGTATGCCAGCGAGACGGAATCCAGCATACAATGGAGGGCATGTTTATCCTTGTGCGGTCGATGGCGAAAGAATTCGAGGAATGGACGAATGCCAGACTTTCACATTCTCGCAGGCATAGCGTACGGACGCAATGGGGTGCTGTGATGCCGAGAAGAAGTTGTGACGCTCATATAAGAGGGCTCGGTGCAACACAATGAGCTTCTACCACTGTTCGTGGCTGAGGCGTTCGTGGCCGGTCATCCTGCTGACCGCTGCTGCGCATTTGGATTCGCCCCAGGCCGATCGAGCATAGGTGCGCTTGACTTCGGTGACCAACCATTCCTGAAGGAATGTGTTTGTTTTCACCTGCGGTATCATTTCATCCGAGTCTTGCATATGAGCTCGGGCCTGTCTCGTGGCCTGAGCTCTAACTTGCTCCTCCTCTTTCGCCTCGGCCCTGTACTCGACAATTCCACTGCCCTCCCGTCGGGTCGAGGACAATCTGAGGGATTGGGTGCCGAATCCCTGGAAAATAGGCGAGTTAGCATTATAAACAAGATGGTTTGTGGCAAGATCGAAACTTGCAACCACCTGACAGGTGCGTTGCTTGACAAAAAGGTAGGAACAAGGTCAGACGAGGGCCGTGGGCCATCCACTCGGCCGCCGTCCATGGTGGCCTGAGTGAGAAAGCAAAAAAGACGGTGGAATCAGAGAGGAGCAGAGAGCACACAAAATGAGGCGGCAGACCACAGGTGATCAAGAGGACGGCGAAGCAAGCAAGCGGTGTTATCAGCTGAATGTTACACTGCTGGGGGGCGCCTGTCTCTTGGTGAGCCACAACTTCAAATGGATCACAGCCGCATGCCTATGACACTGATGAGCTGAATGCAAGATATTGTAGTATGATGCTCATGGCGGTATTGTGGTGGTCAACGGACCGGTTCGTGTCAAGGATGCTGGCTCGTTGGGAGGCGGTTGCCTAGGGCATCAGTTCTACCAATGTGAAGCATTCCCCGGCCTCTTTTTCACATTTCCTTGTTCCTCCCAACTAAATTTAGACATACCGGGCGGCCAAGCAGCATCGAGAAATAGGAGTGCTATCAAAGATGGGCGAAATGGACAATGCGGGATTTGCGAATGGTCATGAAGGGATGTCGGATCTTTTCAGACTATAAAAGCAACATCTCTATTGATCCATCCTTGGCTGTCCAGAGGATTGGGCGTTGACTTGCCTCACAAGACGATGCCAGGAAGCTACGACTTCAAACCAACCTTGAGCGAGCCCCGCCCGTCGTACCGATTTAGATGCTGTAAGCAATGACCTTAGTGAAGACAATATGACAGTTTATTTGCATATGGTTGGTTGGGAGCGAGTCCCTGGCTACCGACAGTGTCACGATTGCAGGTAGTTGTCACATGCGCAGGCACGTGACCGCGCTAGCCACTGCCTGCGCCACTGCGGTTATGTCATTGCTGCCGCTCCTGTAAACCTTCAGATAGTCCTTCGTACTACAATTCATCAATTCAAGCGCACAGCGTGATAGACAGGTATGTAATTACTATCTCTGTCACCATCACCACCCGGATCCAGCACAACATCTTCATCTTCGTCGAAGTCGGGCACGCTTGTCGCTGCTGCAATTGGTGGATAGAGGCCATGCGCGTTCGCGGCCGTCGGGGCTTGGTTGAAACAGTCTGGATTTGTGCATGTGCCACTTCCAACAGATGCGGTGGAGTGGATGGTACGGCATGCCGATTTGCAGAGACTGATCTCTGCAATCTTCATTGCCCGAGCAAGCGCTCACATTTGTGCAAATGGGCTTTGTCCTTGAGACTCCAGCAGATCCTTTAACGTCTCGCTGCCGTCCTGTTCCACCTGGTCAGGGTCGTGGCCATCCCAAAGCCACACCTCCGGCGCTTGCCGCATCGCCCTTCCCTCCAGATCGCGTTTCCTGTGCAGCAGATTCTCCACAAAAGCCCATTTGTTGATAAGGACGGGCTGGGCCCCGGCAGAGCGGTCCTCGCATTAAGCCTAACTCCAATTGCGCACTTGTCGAAGTCGAACTTGAACTTGAGTCCGTCCGGTTTGAAGTGGGTTAGGAAATGGGGAACTTCCTGGTGGGGTTGCTTGCTGTAGGAGAAGACCTTTCCAGTGATGGTGTGCTTCTTTCTAACTTGGACCCCTGATGCCCGCTTGGAATATGGCAACCAGTAGTTCTGCTGCAGTCTTTGGGTGCTTGAGGAGATGGAAGTCGAGGACGCTCGCAACACCAACTGCGCCAACAAATATTTGCATTCTCACGGCTTCCGACCGTGCAATGAGCTCAGTAGAAATATCCGGGTGCCCCAAGGACCATGGCGGTGAGTAAATATATATAGATAACGGATGATGCGGTGAAAATGTCCCTTGTCCACGTTGGAACTTTGATGGGCTTGGTAGCTATGCCTGGAATAGGTAGCTCTGCTGCTTTGGATGGCTTTGCGTTCGTGGGTTTCTTGGTTGGTATGAGGTTATCCGCACCGTTATCATCTTTCCGGGAGTGTTCCGACAACTTGATCGCCGCCTTCCATCACTCGTGTATCTGCTGGGATGGATGCGTGGGTGAGGTGGACCACAGTACGGTGAGAATTGTGGGGCGCCTTGCTTTGTGATCTCGCCTTTCATTGCGCTCACTCCTCCTGCACAAAGCACGGCAGCGGTCCTTTGTAATGTCGTGGCGTCAAAATCTTCTTTGTGCTCTGGCTCTGACCCGGTTCTTCATCCTGATGGACTCCGCTGACGGTGCGCTTCTGAGGTCTGGGTTTCGGTGTCTGTGGATGACCGTGCTGCGTGCTCGGTTCCTGTTGGCCTCAAGGAAGCCAAAATCCAACGGTTTCTTGTCGCCCGATAGGACACAAGTTGGAAATTGCTTCTGCTTTATATATTTATAGCCACCGCGGCAGATTCAGTCAACGGAGTGGCTGTGCCTGGAGAAACAGCACGACTGGTGATGGACTGGAACCGCAGTCGTGAGTAGGAGCCCAGGACTTGGAAGAGATGTTGCGCAACTGTGAGTGTGATCGACGTCGATTCCTATCAAGGTTTTTGTCATGTCCGTGCATGCGCGCTCAGATGAGTTGCAGAGTTCGTGGCGTGCTGAAAAGATAAAAAGGTTGGCCGAAGTACAGTATCTCGTCAGGGAGAATGTGAAGGAATGTGATCATAGCCATCAATCCTGGCAGGTTGTCGAGGAAACCAGATCACCGAGACTGGAACAATGAAGGAAACCTTTTGACCTGAGGAAGGCGACAGTTCAACAAAGGTGGGTCCAAGGCTCTCCTACCAGCAGATGGTTGAAGATGTCCAGAGATGTAAGGGGGTCGAAGAAGAGAGAAGGTCAAGCTTCCTGGCCTGATATTGGCGAGCACAAGCCAATGTTGGGGGGAGGCAAGCGCCTGTAAGAGACAGAATCGGTAGGAGAGAGGGAGAAGGAGGATGGTATTTATAGGAGAAACGATGAGAGCCTTAGCTCTGAATCCTAGATTGTGACAGGTGCAAGTGATGGCATGGTGTGTAACCAACTCTGTTGTTAATGGCTGTTGAGCAGCAGAAAGAGGAATGGAATGTGGGTGACATCTACTGCCTGGGGTAGGGCAGAAAGCTGGACGGCGGTGGTACAAGTGAATCAAATCGATGGTGAAGGGTGACAGCCACGACGAAATGGTACATCAGTCACCGAGGACGACGTAGTTGCTGAACTGCGTCACCGGATGCGTGAATCCATTTTTGAGCGATGTGATGTCTCAGAGGGCAGCTGAATGAATATGTGACCGTGCGAATGAAAGGCATTGACAGGAGTGACCTTTATCACGGCCGCTGCCCATTTGAATGCAAACCAGAAAAATGCAAGGGAAGAGTTTGAGAATTGATGGCAGTGCTAGGTGATACTCGGCTACCGATGTGTAATGCATAGTTGTGCTCTGAAGTCAACGACCTTCCACCACGAAAGCAAGTGCGCCACGTTCAGAGACCAAAGCTTTGGCATGATAGAGTGCCGCGGTTCAATCTAGCCATCCACACTCCCGCCTCTTCATTCGAACTCCCCCCGGAAGCCGTCTCAACCTATCCAAATTTTGCGTGCCCACGAATCGTCAGAGGCGTCCGTGTCGGTGCCACTCTGCTCTTCCTCTTCACAATCCGTGTCATCAGCCTCGACCATCACTCCGTCTTCCTGGAAGATGAGAAGCTTCTCGAGGAATGCGAGCAGGTCCTGGGGATGACACTTTCAATCATCAGTCTCATTCAGAACACAGCAAGAGCACCATACCGCTGCCTCAAACCCGTCGTCTTCAAAGACTCTCTCCGTGATGTCTTGGATGCTTTTGACCGCCATTGCGCGCTCGGGATCATCGGTCGATGTTGGATCCAAGGGCATTTCAATTCTGAAGAAGGCAGTTGTCGTGGTTTCGGCGCCCTGCCCTTGTCAGTACGCTTCCCAGGACAATGAGAGGGGGTGAGACTGACGGTCATATTCTTGTTGACGGTAATCATGACTCGAGTGCTCCCAAATGTTTTGTCCTTGGGCATGGGGCCCTGAGCCACCTTCCGGACCGGATCGAGGACCTGATCTTGTGGCTTGGGTGCAAGGATCGGTGCTGGACCTGCGGCCGTATTCAACGTGGTGATTGGAGCCGGTGGTGGTGCAGACATGGCGAAAGGGACCCAAGTGAGAGGTCAATGGTTGCGTGGTTGAAATAGAATGGACAAAAGAGAAGAATGGTGATGAACAGGATAACAGTACAGTGAAAAGTGAGTGAGTACCAATGCTGAATAGCTAGAAAGTATCAAAGAAGAAGTCCAGGACAGGTCAGTGTTTGTAGAAGATGGTCCTCAGAGGCATTCGCCATGGTGGGCAAGAGCAATTGCGTTTCTGCAAAGAAGGTACATGTATGCGCCTGCATTCGTGTAGATGAATTGGGCTGGGAAGTGCACGACGTAGCATGGAAGTTGCGTTCGAGCTGATGGTTGAGGCCGTGTCCTTGAATGTAGGCAATCATATGGTATGGAATGATCACACTTTGAGCGATGGAATCGACAAGCAAGAGAATTGTTGACGAGTTTGATCAAGCACTCGTCAAAAGCTGCGCTGAGGATTGGGTTGTCAATACAACTACTTTGGCGGAGGATGGCATGCTATGACACCACGTGATACAGCACGTGATATTACACTTGATCTCGTGACATGACTCCGGGGGGGCTGGACACCAACCCCTGCACTTTGGACAAGGGCAACGGACTAGGAGTATGTCTTTGATCCCAAGGTGGCAATTGATCGAGCACACCTCAGTGACATCCCGGGTGCAAAGTTGGCTTGCTTCCAGTCAAAACAAGCGTCCATGAGCGAGACAATGCCAGACATGGCCCCCAACAATCAAAGAACATGGCTATTGATTATTTGATGTTTACGTTCTGGCTCCATTCAGTGCTATGATGCGGCCGACCAGAGTGAGCTGATCGACCATTTGGCTGCTATGATTCACGTTTGAGTGAGAACGGCCACAATGACATGATCGAGGAGGCGCAGGCAGTGGCTGACAAGGTCACGTGCATGCATATATTGTCTGCGATCATGACAATCACCCGAGTAAAGATGGAGGTGGAGTATCGTGGCTTGAATGGAATGACAGTTGCTTCTTGCAATGTTGCTTTTCTTTTTGCAAAGTTGCTTTTTGCAAAGTTGCTTTTTGCAAAGTTGCTTTTTGCAAAGTTGCTTTTTGCAAAGTTGCTTTTTGCAAAGTTGCTTTTTGCAAAGTGCGAAGTTGCTTCTGCCAACTAGTCCCCCGCAGAGCAGGACCCCCGAAAGATCAGACCAGTCACACAGAGAGGACAACAAGTGGCACAGGACTTGTCGGGGAGGCACCCGAAGGACCGTTGTCGTAAGATTGGTTGGGGAGCATCCCGCACGTCAAACTGTGTCCTTGCGGTGGGGAACAACATCCTCCTCTGCACCACGTCCTCTTTTCAATCCAGGCACCCACCGGGGAGCCAGGGGCAGCAGGGCTGGTGGAGGACGGAATGCAAGCAGCAAACATTTCCAGGGACAACCAATCGGAACTGCATTGTCGCTGTCAGCAGACGGTGAGTCAGTCCTTTATCTGCGTCATAGCAAATGATGCTTCCCGGATCAGCGATAGCGTTGTCCACGCAAGGTCCAATCAGCCTGGAGATGCTCAGCACGTTGCTACGCGACTGGCAATGACACTCCAGCAAGTGGATATCAGCCCCACTGTCTCTGCCAACTCACCCGGGACAGCCCCCGACGGGAGCCCCCCGACGCGAAATCACCGCCAATGGGAGGACCCCCGAGCTTCACGTCTCAGGCGTTTTCGATTCAGGTGGCGCTTTGTTGGCATTGGAGGGATTCCTCATTCAGTGGGATCCTGCTCCACTGGGAACCCCCTTTGCAAGTGTCCCCGACGCAGATCATCGGGACTGCGCTACGGGGAACAGGAGGATATCCATTGACGGAACCTTCCGGAGCCCATTCGCCATCCTTAACCCACGAGGTCGGATCCCTCTCCAGAATCTCGGGGAATTTGGAAGAGGCCGGCACAAGCCGAAGATCGAGCTCGGCAAAAGCACAAAGTCGCCGCAAAGCTCAGAGAAGAGGGGAAGGGCAGGTGTCAGTGGCAGATGGAAGCCACAGATCTGATCAATGTGGTGCATCTTCTGCATCGGGATAAGTGAAGCGCAGTCTGTCCCGCCTTGCCGGAGGTTGTCACTCGGTAGAAGCGTGGAAAGGATGAGAGTCTCCTTCGTTCCCAAGCTAGAGCAGCCACCGGTGCGGGGAGAATATCCAGCAGCGGGCAGCCGAGTCCGAGGCGAGTCTGGGCCGACATCCGCGAAAAATGTCTTGCATGTGTAGTGGAGGCCTACCTAGTTGCCGAGCGGTCCGAACATCATTGCGTGATCCGAGATTTCGAAGGCGGGTTGAGATTCCCGGGTGGTTCAATTCATGCTAATCCCTGCCAGCCGCGCCGTGGAATCCATGCGTCGACTGCCCGGGCATCGCTCCCTTTGGGCAGCAGGAAAACTTGCCAACATGGACTGCGCATCGCCACGAACGAAAAGACGAGGGTTGAGCCCGAGTAGAAGGGACTGGTCCACGAAGAATAGTGTCGACATCCGGAGTGCAAATCATGAACCGGATTTCCCTTCGCACAGTCACGTGCCGTTCGCGACATCGTTCACCGCATCCTCCTCCACTCTGTGGATAGTCCTCCGTCCTGCAACTCATCAACTAATCCGCTGTTGAGGCTGATCATATCGATTCGATCTGTGGCTGTGGTCAGCGCACCTGGCAGAAATCTCAGCGTCAAGATTACTATGGTAGTGCTTACCTAGGTAGGCATACCCGTGCGAGAACCTCAAGTGGACCTAAATTTTCATGCAATATGCTTGGTGGTCGAGTCCTTCACTGAGCCTACAGCAGGTCCCCGTGCAATGATAGCCAGGACAACACGGGCACGATGCCAATGTGCATGTTGACCACCTTCTTCTTGTCGATGGTCATCATCTCAGTCTTCCTGTCGATAGAGTGTCTGCACCTGGATTTGAGCATTCAACCTCAGGCGGTTGGTTTCTCGGGCGGCGTTGATACTGTTGCCGGCCATGAACATGGTAATGCAGGTAGTCTTGGTGGTGAACGGGTTTGTGCTCTGATAGTCTGTCCTGTCAAATGAGGCGAAAAGCTTAGTGCCCTTGAATATACTGTGGGGCATGCTATTGTACCTGAAGCTCGTCGAGAGCCTTTTCTGGATTCGTGAACAAGTCTTTCCCCGAGCCCAACTCATCCTCACCGCTCACACCCTCGCCGCAGCAGATATTTGGGCGCGTGGAATCAGCCGCGTGTCTCTTCCGGGGCACCATCTTGATCCTGGGCATCCCCAAGTCAACATACGCGCCAGCAAGAGTTGCATCTTGGGCTCGAGCTCGGATAACATCTTCTCCATGTCGATCATCTGCTTCTGCAGTATCCCGTATAGGTCCGTGGAGGTACCTATAATTCGCTCTTGAACGACCTTGTATCTCTACCCTCCAGGAGTAACCCATCAAGGCGTTTTCACCATATCCAGCGCTGCCGGCAGCCCAATATTTAACCATTGTCCCTCAATCGTTGTGGATACTGCCCAGAGTGTGCCAGCGCACCTCAATGTGAGTAGACCGTGCAAGAGTCTTCGGATGAGCTGCCACGAAAGCCGACTGCATGAGGTGCCTGCAACGAGCTCGGAGAGAGCAATGTGAAACTCGTACTCTGAAAGTAAAGATATATTCTTCCACCCTGCTGACACGGCCAGAAGTGAAATGGTGAACAGACTGCTGGTGGCAAGGACAAGAATTCCGTAACTTGTCGATATCTTCCACGCTGGGGGTTGTCTTTCAGTTGAGGAGCTTGTAGCTTTGTCGTTGCCGGCTTCTCATTGAGAGGCCTTTCTGAGTTGGCACGCCACCCACAGTTTAACAGAGATGATGACAAAAGTTGGCCATCACGGTGATGCAGTGAGCTTGAATTTTCAAAGTGACGCTGCGTAGCTGCTTTGGCATGCGTTCGCTGCCTGCGCCTTGAAAAACACTGCCTGATGAGGTGAAGAGAAACCCCCCAAAACTGCCTGACCTTGGAACTGGTCACTTTCTTCCCTCCCCTTCTACACTCTGCTCTTCCTCACACCAAAATAATCGCGACCGTTTCCGAACCTTACCAAGACATGGAGATTCCATTTGATTCTGCAGAAGGGATCCCCTTGAAAGCAGTGAGTCTTTCTGAGATGCCAGAGATTTTCACAAAGCTGAATGATACGCAGGTACCACACGCCACAGCCGACGAAACCACCAACAGCATGGACACCACCAACAGCATGGACACCACCAACAGCATGGACACCACCAACAGCATGGACACCACCAACAGCATGGACACCAC